TGCATGACATGTATAATTCAGTTTAGACAGTTTGCAAGAATGTTTAGCGTCCCTGTTATGAAAATTATCGCTGTGAGACGCTGGGGGCGTGAACGAAGCTTGAGAGAGTTGTGAGTGAGGGCGCGGGCGCAGCCTCCGTATTGCCAGATCCAGCTATTATAAGCGTTTTTGGACTTGTCTTTTCCACTTAATTTAACAATTTAGAAAGTGAATAAAGTAGGAAGTTGCAGTTTAGAATCAGCGATATCTTTATCTTATCTTACTTGCAAAAGATTGGAAATAATTTCGGTTTATTTTTATTTATTTTTAGTTTTTAGTTTGTTTTAGTATCAATATCTGGCAACACTGCATCGCTGGCACTTAAAGGGATAATCCACAGAAGAGCGTACGCTTGTGTTCAGCGGATATTCTCCAAAATGGCGCTACGGTGATGCGGAGAGACACAGAGGAGACGAATTGTTGAATAAAGTCGTTATTTTTGTTTTCTTCGCGTACAAAAAGTATTCTCGTCGCTTCATAACGTTACGGTTGAACCACTGATGGCAGATGGACTATTCTGACAATGCCTTTCATACTTTTCTGGACCTTGACTTTAAAGTGTTTATAGTGTATATAATAAGTTGTATTTGTAGGGGTTATTATAACACAATTCAAAGCCTTCAAAGCCTGGGTACGGCCATGAGTGTAAGTGTGAGTTTTGTGTTTCTGCCCCTGCCATTCCCGCACAAGGTTGTAGCACTTTAATTCATAAATGTGATCTAACAAAGGAAAAGGGCAAAATATCAACCATATATGCTGTTTATATTGCTTGTAATTGCGATGAAGTAAACATCTGTTGCGTATTTTAACATAATGTTTTTAATTGTGTGTTGAATTAACAACCCCAAAATGCAGCGGGTCCACCAGACCCACGAACACTGGCTGAGTAACAAAAATATGAACACCACATAGGGTTAATTCACACGAAACATTCATCACTCTCTCTCAAGATGGCCATATTTGAGGAAAAAAGTCGAGTAGTTTGCATCACTAGATACAGCTGTCGGTCATTTCACATTTCTATCGTAATACAGCTGACTAATTTAAAATTATTTGCAACTTCCATCTTACCTCACTTTCTTTCAACGTTAAACTGACGCTTCGTGTTGGAATTCGTGCTGTGCTTCTGAAAACAGTAAACCTCGCCTACTTTAATTTGACTGGTCATCTCAGTTATTTTGACATTGACGAGCGCTGTTAGAGCGCTGAGGCAGACCAGGCTGAAGATGTAACTTTTAAACCTTTCTGTCATCTTAAAAAACAGAGCGCTGCCTAATGGAGTACAGCAGATCAGTGCAAGAATTACAAATATTGGGGGGGGGGGATAGATTGGCCATTTCTAATTATTTTTTATTATATTGAAAGTGTTTGTTTACCTTTTTTTTTTGTGCTCCTTTTCATCTGTTTACTTCTGTTCCCTGCAGCGACTGTGATGTTTTTGTGCTTGCTATGTCCTAACATTTTTCCTCAATCTGTGTCAAAAAAGACCTGTGTGCCACTGTGGCTTGTTTGTTTCATTACTCCAACAGGGACTGCTTTATGTTTCATTTTTACACTTCCATCCATAAGGTGTATAAAAAAAGTAAGGTGTAGGGTTTGTTTACATGACAATGTTGTACTGTATTTTTTTTTCTTTAAATTTTTTACAAGTTTTGCGTACAGACGACAACATTGTTAAAATGATCCCTGTTCACACAGGTCCACAAGAATGACATGAAATTATTATGCATGGCAGGCAAGTAGCTGGCAATGTCACTTTGTACAGAAACACTCAGAAACACGTGCCTCAACACCTACCTATAGACTAAACATCTAATATGCATGTCTATGATGTCACCGTTTTCAAAAATGTGTGTGTGTGTTTTTTTTTGTAGTCGGAGACGATAATGGTAGCCTATTGGTTTGAAAAACTTGCACTTTGAAACCTATTTTCAAATGTTTGCGTTTTCAGGCCCCCAAAATGCCATTGTTGCATAAATAAAGGCCCAAAGCACATTACAAGTTTGGACTCGTGAATTGCCCACCTGCTCCATAACTTTATTCTGGACTACACTGTTTCATGTTTGTTGTTATATTGTTTGGTTTGTTTATTTTTGGCTAGAAGTGCTAAAGTAAACATATTACTATTGCTCTAATTATTAGTATTAAAAATTGTATGACATGGCTGGTCATGTGATCTCCTGAGGGGCGACCCACTCTATGTAGAATAAAATAGCCTTTTCTATAAGACTGATACGCCACGAGTCTGATCGCATGTGAGTTTACATTTTTGCAATTATCGTTCATTTCTTTATATGTAAAACTTTTTTAATAAGCAAAAATGCTGCATGCGCCTTTAAATCAGAAGCGCGGCTGTGAGTTTCTTCAATGATGTTGGACATTGACGGACGCTTCGCGCGCTGTCATTCGCCTCACATGACAGCAGCCTGAAAGAGAGAGATGGAGTGCAGTCATGTAAGTATTTTACAGTGTTAGTCCTGTAGAGAGCGGTAGATCGTTTTATTAAATTGTTTTATACGCTCCCTGTGGTACTGTACATGAGCGCGACCGGGAAGGGGGAGGGAGGAGCGATCGTAGTAATTCTCTTCATTTCAAATCCCTGTCGTGGCAGCACGGGCAAGGCAGAGGACTTTTCTCCCCTTCAAACTAAGGGGAAAACCCTCCACCGAGAGCCTAGTGCACGAGCTAAAGAGCAAACGGAGGACTTTTGGGAGGAGGAGACATTAGTTTGAAGGCACGCTGTGGTGGTATCGGCTCACTGTGTGCACTAGTGTCTCCTCACTTGCACTGGATACACGAAGCAGGACGTTTTGACTTCTCTGCGACTCGCAGGATTCCCGAGATCTCCCTGAAACCCGCCAAACGTTCACACGGTGAGTCGCGCAGCGCGCGTTTATTTACGACTCTCACGCTCATGCAGCTTTCGCTCGTGTTCTTCTGCCGTATGAAGCTAATTCCAGCGTACGCTAGCTGCGTGGTTTGACAGGTCAGCGGTCCTAAAGCTAAAACGATTCATTCTTGTCGCCCTCCACTGTAAGACACTACAGGCTTTAGCGAACGCGGGCTTTTGCATGTTAGCGCGTCTGACATTGCACAAGTTGCCGGCGCGGAGAATGTCTTGCTGTATGTAGGGCCTAGTTTGTAGCAGGCACATACTGTACCAACAGACACATTGTAGCCCCGTGTCTGCTGGTACAGTATGTGCCTGCTACACACACACACACACACACACACACACACACACACACACACACACGATCCCATCTGAGGAATAAGTGTCTTGTCTAGCAAAACGATCGGTCATTTTCTTAAAAAAATTAAAATGTATATACTTTTTAACCATAAATGCTCATCTTGCACTAGCTCGGCTTCTTGCATTACATAGTCACGTTGGAAAGGTCACGTGTGATGTAGGCGGAAGTACTGACCCAGTGTTTACAAAGCAAACGTGCAAAGAAAATCAAACGCCTTTTACAAAAAATGGTAAAACAATGTCGGACGATTTTGAAGTTGTAGGAGAAAATAAGATGGAGTTTTTTGCCCTACCCTTCCTTTTTTGAACCAAAGTACACAGACGAAGAGCTAACCGTGAGTGACCTTTCCAACATGATTACGTAATGCGTGAATTTGCGGACGCGCATCGTGGAGCTAGTGCAAGACGAGCAATTGTGGTTAAAAAGTATATCAATTTTTATTAATTATTTTTTTTTTAGAAAATAACCAATCGTTTTGCTAGACAAGACCCTTATTCCTTGGCTGGGATCGTGTAGAGCCCCTTGAGCTGCATAGAAACTGCAGTTTGGACCTTCAACCTGTTGGCCACCATTTAAGTCCATTATATGGAGAAAAATCCTGTAATGTTTTTCTCAAAAACCTTAATTTCTTTGCGACTGAAGACAGAAAGAAAAATCTTGGATGACATGGGGTGTGTAAATTATCAGGAAATTTTTATTCTGGAAGAGAACTAATCCTTTAAGGAGTCAAAACAAGCCACCTGTTGTTGCATTACAATCTTCTGATATATATCAGGCTACATATATATATATATATATATATGAAGAGTTTGGTTCCAAAACGCGATAAACGCCATTTTTGAAAAAATTGAGTTTCCGCCAAAGTCAGTATTGTATCTGGTCGGTATTGAAAAGTCCATTTAAAATTTTATGCAAAATGCGATATTATTCCGAGTTATTCTGTCATGTTTTCTCCCTTTTTTTCCAAACCGCGACAAACGCCAGTCTCCCTTTTCTGCAGAATGCGATATATCCGCTCAACCAATCACAGCGCACCATTCCACGCACTGTAAACAGTAACAACCAATCACAGCGCACCATTCCACGCCCTGTAAACCGTAACCACCAATCACAGCGCACCATTCCACGCCCTGTAAACCGTAACCACCAATCACAGCGCACCATTCCACGCACTCTAGACAGTAATGGCGGCGCTTTGAATACACCCGGCATCCTAGTTTTCCTCAATTAATTTATAGCATTAACAAGATGGCCCGTTGAATTCATTTTAGGAGCGATGACTGATTGAATGAATTTTAGTCCAGTGCCTACATATAAGATTAGTATTGACCAAGTTCAGAGGCTGTCATATGTGGATCAACTTACTATGTTGTGTATTTTCAACAGTTTCAATATGAAAAATAACTTTTATATTGATTCAATGGATTTATTGCATTTTGGGAAAAAATAATAAAATTTTATAATAAATCTTTGAAAATCAAAATCTGGATTTGAATTTTTAATGTTATTATAACCTAAAGATGCTATGTGAAAGTTTGAAACAGAAAATAGTGGTTTTCATCTTGCCACTTTCTTGGTAAAGAAAACACATTTTTACTCAAATTAATCAAAATTGATTTATAGCGTTTTGGAACCAAACTCTTCATATATACACAAACACACACACATACAACAGACATACACATTTCTTTATGTAGCTGTTGTCAATTCCTTTTGTGACTGTTCCATTTTTTCATCATTTGTAAGTGAGCATGTCTTGCTTGAGCTATAAATCTACGCAAAGTTGCAGTCATTATCAGTAGCTTGACTTGTTGTGTCGGGCTCTGATGAGTTTTTAATGGGAAGGAAGTGACCTTCTCTGGCCCCACTCCTAGCAGCCCTCCATACCATGGCCTCTTGCTATATAGGTCAGCACTGCCAAACACACGGTGAAAATGATCAGTGACCTTAAGTTAAGGCTTTGCAGCTGAAGTTGTTATCCCAGTCAATATGGGGCTAGAACAGATGCCCAAAAAGCATGCTGGGTAGGTTAAATGGTTTTGAGGTTTGTCAGTCTAACAATAATGGGTTTGCAATATGAGAATGGTTAGCTTGTGGCCACTTCTATAAAACCATCAGACACTTGGAAATTCTTGAAGGGTTTTTAATCGTTTGCGTCACATATCAATTGTCCTGATTATTTTGATTTGTATATTGTTTTGACATCACACCCAACCTAGATTAGTCATTCGGATTTACACCTCATTTGGCTGATTTTCACTATTTGATTATGTAAGACGGTGAAGCATTTGTGCATTGAAATATACAAAGCCTTAACCTTGTCATTTGTGTTTGTGCATTTTGGTGTAAAATAATTTGTAGTGCAAGTAGCAGAGTGCACGTGTTGAGGCTGTGACCTGTAGATTATCACAGCGTGCTGTCTCTCACCCTGAATGTGTCATGCAGTTTTATCTAAAACACACATACTAGAAAGCTGATAAGTCCATTTTGTAAAACATCAACCAACGTTATCGTTCAGGATTGTATTATTGTAAAATGCTGCGAAAAGTTTTAACTTGGATTGCAGGAATTTACTGTTCTAAATGACATCTGCCCTACAAGACAATACCCTGCCTCTTTAGTCTTTCTTTACTATAGTATCATTTATATTTTAGAATAGTGTATAACCACAATATGATGTTCAGTTATCACTTTAAAGGAATAGTTCACTCAGAAATGAAAATTCATTGTTTACTATTTTTTTTTAAATGAATATCCTGGCTTTTCTTTTCAATTTAATGAAATTGAGTGAAGACTAAGACATCCAAATTAATTTAAGTTCCATAAAAGTGGTCCATATGATTCATGCACTATATTCCAAGTCTTGCAAAGTCATATGATAGATTCGTGTGATAAACAGCAACTAGTAAATGATGCAACTGGATCATTGAGTCTGATTTGTGAAGGAATGAGTGGCTGCGTCCAAAATCGCATACTCTGAGTAGAGAGTACTGCTTTTGAATAAGTACAATACTTTGTGACTTTTAAGAAAAGTGTGATCCATATAATATGAATCTGTGTTATATGAATGTAATTCGGACGCATCTCATTCTCATCTGTCATGTTGTCATTGTCATGTGACATACATCAACAGTTGCGTTGCTTTACTGCCATTCGCAAATCTCCCGTGGCCTGGTAAAGTCTTCATCAGATTCACACTTCTGAATCTCACCGGAGGTAGTAAAACATCTGGGTACTTTTTGCCTACTGTTTTATTAATACTGTAAATTTGGATATGCTACTCTTTTCACATAATGTTTTTCATCAACTATATAGTCAGGAAGCATGTGATTTTTGGGTGCAGCCATTGAGATATGAATTGTACATCACTGTTAGTCTAGGACAGTGGATCTTCAAGTTGTCTGACTCCAAGGCCTCCCACTGTCCACAAAAAATATTCAAAGCCCCCTGCCTCCTTTTAATTTACAAAAATTAGGATTGCCCATGAATTAAAATAAGTAACTAAAATAATTGTAGAATTCCTAAAAGTTTGGGGGTGAAATGAATGTAAAAAAAATGTTTTTTCAGTTGTTTTGGCTTACTTTACAGCTTGATTTCTTATTTTAAAACATTTTAAGTCATCTTGAGGCCACCTTGGAATTTTGCTGAGGCCCCTTAGTGGGTCCCACCCCACTGGTTAAAAACCAGTAGTCCAGGTGCTAGCATGTAGCCCTAGATTTTCAGAAGGAGGCTCAAATGCTTGTGGAAATTATATTTCCACAAATAAAGTGTCAGATGAGCTCAATTATGCTTAGCACAGCATTTTTTTATGCATTGGAGCATTAAAAGGATCTTGTACAATTTCCTGCATTTCTTTTTAGAGATAATTACTGTTTTTAGCTGTAACATAGCCTTACCTTTGCTGTGTGTCATCTGTTACATAATTCATGGCTGTGCTACAAGTAATGCGTTAACCTCTTTCTTTGACCGCGTTCGCAGCAGATGCGCAGTGGCAGATGCCAAAACTGAACTTTGACTTTGGTCTAAAACGCTTGCGGAGGGCAAAGCAGCTTCAGTTCTGATAAGCACAACCACTGTCCTGTGGAACATGAATATATCACCGCTCAGTATGATCATTAGTGAACGTCAACCACCGCTGCTCTGGCCCCTATGAGATAACGTTGCCCACACAAGCACACGGACCTGTGCGCACACAGATACACACACGCAGACTCATAGGTTTGTTTGATATTGTTAGTTTGTTATACACAAAAAGCTCTCTCTGACTTTCATTGTCCTCTTCTTGCAAGCCAACTCCCAACTGCATTTGATCTTTTTTGTCTTTAGTTTCTGTTAATTGTTTGTTCATGTGGTTTCCATGTCAATGAGGACCAGGGACTTAGGCTCAGATCTGGCCTTTGTAAACAGCTCCACACAAAAAAACGTCCCCTTAGCCCCACACAAACACAGCGCAAAGGGTGGCATGCGCTCGAGACGAAATACTGGCCTTTGTGAGAACAGAGTCGTGAGAGGGTTTTTATTTTTATTTTTTTTAAGCCACACTTCACACTAATTAACAGCCCTAAATCTCAGACAGCCTTTTCATCTGGTGTCAGTGGCTTCCTCCCTGTTGCTCTATT